CAGGAAGTGCAATTCAAATTTTCCTGGGGCTTTTCCTGTCTACCTGGCCAGTGCATGCGAGTTCAGATTGCTGTCCAGAGAGGTCACAATGGTGCACTCTGGGACAGCTCCCGGAGGCCAATACCATCGAATTGCGGCCACAATAACCCTAATTCGAATTGACAAAATCAATTTTGGTGCTACTCCGCTCGTCGGGGTGGAGTACAGAAATCGATTTTAAGAGCCCTTTATTTCGAAATAAATGGCTCCGTTGTGTGGACGGGTGCAGGGTTAATTCAATTTAACGCTGCTAAATCCGAATTAAAGTCATAGTGTAGACCAGGCCCAAGCCACGCAACAGGAAACGCTGGTTGAGGGACACTAGATGGGGAGGGCTCTGAGTTACTATAGAGAATTCTTTCGCAGGTGTCCGGCTGGTGGGTCTTGCCCACATAGTCAGGGTCTGACTGATCACCATATTTGTGGTCAGGAAGGAATTTTCCCCCTCGTCAGATTGGCAGAGACCGTAGGGGGTTTTTGCCTTCCTCTGCAGCCTGGGGCATGGATCACTTGTAGGTTTAAACTAGTGTAAATGGTGGATTCTCTGTAACTTGAAGTCTTTCTGTCATGATGTGAGGACTTACACCCTTTCAAGACAATGGTCCTCCCCTCCCCCCCACTGTGGAATTTCCAACTCAAAAATGATTGCCTTCTGAAGGATAGCAATCCAGTGTTGCAAGCTTCCAGAGCACGAGCACTACTTGCTTCTCTACTGTCAATGCAACTCTTATTTTGGTGTCCCTGCTCTGGATGTTTGGGCCCAACTCAGCACACAGCCTGGGAAATGTGGTCTTTTGCATCCACAAGTTCTAATGCCACTCCTTGTCATCCCAACCCTGCATTATGGCACAAGCCCACCAGGCACTGCTCATTTCTCAGCCCCAGAAGCGGTGATCCTCTGTGTGGAGCTGCTCCATGAATAACGGCAGCAACCTGGCATTGCTGTGTCCATCAGCATGCAGTTACTGTGCTTGAACATCCCCATATCTTCCTCATTGCAATTCTGACTGTGGTAATACTCCAAGTTCTGCAAATACATGAGAATTGTGTGTTCCAAATAGCAATGCTCAAGAGAGACTTGCACTGAGTTGTGTAGGGTCCATGTTTCTGCCAGAGGAGGGAGGATACAAATTGATTTTTTTAAATGTTTTAAAAAATTAATTTCAACTGTTTGATTTTGGTTTTTAAATTATAAGAAGTTTTTCTTTTTAAAAATAAACGTGTTTAAAATTAAATCTGAATTTAATACAAAATATGTTAAGGCCTAAATTTATTAGAATTTCTTAAAACATTTAAGTAAGAATTAATATGAATCCATGAGCCTCTATCAAAAACTCAGAGTTAAAGGTTGCTTTTATATTGAAAGAAAGAATCAGGGGAGAAACAACTAACTTTTGACATCAAGCTTTATACATGGCACAATAGATTATGTACTGTATTAAGAGCTTGATGCTGTGAGGGACCTGGGGCTGGGCTACTGGGTGCAACAGACTGGCAGAGTCATCACAGGCGCTGGGACCTGGCCTCTGACTCCAGGAGACATCAAGTATCTCATCATGATCATCTACCGAGCCCAGCTGGGTGGTCTCATTCTCCTATTTCACAGCTTCTTTCTACATGAACTCAAATTGGTTCAGTTCTCAAATAATGAATCTTTATGACACCACCCACCATGTAAACTTACTCTCCAGCTGATGGGAAAACAATAAAGTTTATCTATCCAAAACATTTAAGGTTGTTTTGTTTAATAACAATAAATGTTATATGATGGTTAGCATGTTTAATTAAATTCCAGTTACCATCCTAATGCATTGACACAAATCATGAGCTACAAGTTAATTATCTAATTAATAAGCAATACATCATTCACCATTTTCTAACATACTAAAAAGGTACAGTTATTAAGAATCTGAAAATATTAATCTATATAATTGCTTAAATAAATGTATATTTAGTTACAAATCAACACATTTTAATGGTTCTCAATCAATGAAAATGCACCTTCTTCTTTAGAAAATAACTCAAGTACAAGTGGAAAAGTTGATTAAAACAGATTATTTAAATCGAGGCTTACCACTTGGTCGTTGAAATCATTGCCTTGATTTAAATCAACCCACCCTGTGCCAGAGAGATGACAGAGACTAAGAGGCATACAAAACAATAAAAGATTTCAAAAACAGGACCACAGTTATGGGATGGAATAGGCACTCTGGAATGGAGAAAGAGACATGGTGGGAACTTGACACCTAGCTCCCAGAAATCCTGGGGCAGTCAAGGGGCAACCCACAAAACACTGCAGAGAAATGTCCCACAAGACACTGAGCTGGACATTCACTGTGACATTCACTGGGGAACTGTGAGATACCTACCTACGGTGAAGTGCATTTTACATTGATGCAACAACTCATTGTGAGGATACACATAGCTGATGCAAGCATCTAAGTGCGCACACATCACCTACTAGAGTCAGCGGACATATAGTGACATAACTTACGGCAACTGAACTTTGTAGTGTACACATGACCTTAAAAGAAGTGACTTCAAGTCTTGGTAATGCTTCTGATCCCTAACCTAAGACAACAGAAGTGGTTCTCAAATCTGATAGCCCTTTCCAACAACATACCTTACGTTTTTTTCCTCTGAGTCTACGTCTGTCAAGCAGATGCTTAAGTGATCTAGACCACTTGAATTCATTCTTTCCGAAACGTCCTTCTGTTACCCAAAGTTAGCAGGAACTAGGGGAAAAGGTGGAGAAGAGGGAGTGAGAGCCTTCACCCTAAATATAAAATAAATATGTCTGACATGAAGCACAGGGTACGTCGACACTGCAATAAAAATAAATTAAAAATTTTAAAAAACCCACCACACACACAAACCTTATGACAGAGTTCTGAGACTTGCTGCCAACTGACTCGGGCTCGCAGGGCTAAAAATAGCAGTCTAGACATTTGGGCTGGAGCCCGGGCTCCGAGACCCTCCTCCTTTGCAGGGTTTCAGAGCCCAGGCTCCAACCCAACCCCAAAACATCTACACTGCTATTTTAGCCCCACAGCCCGAGTCCCGTGAGCCCAAGCCTATTGCCCAGACTCTGAGACTCACTGCTGCAGCTCTTTTATTGCAGTGCATATATACCCTTAGGTCCATGTTAGACCTGGCACTCATATTCAAACACTGTGTTTACACTTCAGATAAATAAGCCAATATCCGGAGGATCTTATTTGACAAAAACTGAACTCTCCACCAACAAATAAAATGGAAAAAAGTAGTGGGGCTCACTCAAGCTCCATTGCCTTAAGAAAAAATGAGATGCCACCCACAGCAGATTACACAGATATTCAAAATATGATCACATGCTCTCTGTTGGGCTCCATCACATGAAGGGGTGGTCTGCTTTGCATCACTGGGATTTGCTCCACATCACTGGGGTTGAGATACTCCTATAATCAAAGCAAGATTAAAGCACAGATATGTGCTTAGTGCCCCAGCTACCAAAAATACGATAGTATCAGAATCTAAACTTATTTATTTACACTGGGGTAATTACGCCAGTGTAATCTCTGTTTTGAATCAGTGTAGTGTGTATAGTAAGGTGATGCACTGATGTAAGTGCATCCATGTCATTAGTTGTACTGGTACAGATTCCCCTAATCTAGATGAGCTCTAAATCACTAGACATCTGAGTTAGTAGATTTTCTAAAGAAAGGTGCATTCTCATTGATTTATCTCAATGGGAATTCACACCTATTGGTTTAGGCTGTCTCTACACATCATTGCATCTATTCCTTTCAGTTTATATTTTCAAGATTTTCCTTGCAATCATAGGATTAGACTGTTTTCATAAAAAGAGGATGCCAACTTGCTCTCTAGCACCTCAAGAACTGCTGAATCACAGATTGGGACAAATTTGAGCCTTACTTACCACTTACTCCTTGAGAGACGCAGACACACTGTTCAGACCCTGTTTGACTTAAGTCTACTAAGGTGTTCTCTTCAGTCCTATCAGATGCAGAGCTGAACACATTACTTTGTTCAGAATACACTATTCCCAAAGATTTATGAAACTTGACAAGACAGGGACGAAAGAAATTCTTCCTGCCAATTCAAGTAATACACTGCCATGCTGTTGACTGTGAGAATCTTCAATGCCTGAACTATAATCAAATGAATGAATGCTTAGAATGCAAGCCTATCACTCTTAGCCAAAAGAGGTTGGTAATTTGAATTCATTGGGTTTCCTTAACCCTAGGTAGAACAGAGGAAAACCCAGTGCAAGGTTGCTAAATGTTTATTCTGTTAGACTTGGTTTATCCCTGATAGCAAGGAGACTGATGTTTTAGATTTGGCTGGAGGACAAAGTCACTAAAAATCAACGCCTCTTAGTGCCAGGAGCCAAAGAACCACCAAAACATGAGACAGAGAGTCTATCTGAGTGAAGTAACTGAGGCAAGGGCAGCATCGGACACCAGATCAGGTAAAAACCCTGTTACAGGTAGATATGGGGATATCTACATTATGTGTTCATCCTCATTTCCTCTCTCTCATCTTACTGTGGTTTTATTTAGTTGTCTTCTTTCCCTGCTGTATCAAATGCTACCTGTGTAAGGGCTTGTCTATACTGTGAAGTTAATTCAGATTAAAGTAGGCATGATTTTAAAGCTGAATAGCTATTCTGAATTAACTCCTCATGCATGCAGATACTCTTATTCTGGGAAAACTTGCTCTTATTTTGGAAACTTCCCCCGTAGATAAGCCTTAAAACTACTTTCTGTGTAGTCTTCAGGAAGAAAAAATTATAAAAAAGTTTTTAAAAGTTTTAATCACTTAAATATAAAACGTTAGTAAAATAGCCCTCATGTTATTTATTTTCATAAATTCACTTTATGGTACACTGTACCTACATTTTCAGTTTTCAATATGCCACAGATTTTTATATTTATCCCATAATTATCACAAGCGGTTGAGGGTGATTGAGAACTGGAGGCTTCGGCAATTGGGTCTTTGGCTCCAGTGGACTGCAGGCTCTCATTAGAGACCTCTCATGCCATCCTTCAGTGAACTACTATCCATATATCTGACTCTGGGGATCACTGTAAAACCCTACGCACCCCCTGTGTCCTCCGCCTGTTGGCACCAACAGCTCCTTGGTTCACAATATTCATCATTACAGATGGAGTTGAGGTTTCGAATGACATCCCATTCAAGACATTATCTAATGTGGACACGATTAAAAAAATAGGAATTCCTCAAAAGGACAAGATAATCAACAGATTCCTACTGGTAGACTGAAAATGGAGTGTACCTGATTTTGCTGAGGATGCATTTATGGCCTCTCAAAAAGGTGTCTGAAAACAGCGACCAATCATAGCACTTTAGATAAAATGTATCAGGGACACTGGGTTGAGACCTTAGCCTTGATACCTCCTTCTGGAGAGCCACAAGCTTTTCTCACAGTACACACATCCACGCTATTCTCGAACACAGAGGCACTTCTACCAACATTTGAAATTGTGTGGGGTCTACGATCACCCCAAACAGTCACTCTTGGCCTTTGTATGGCATCACCCACGGGTAAAAGACTGGATTTTCAAGACCAAAGGCACCACTGCCCTGAGAAGGGCACATGCAGGATTACCCAGAGTGCTTTTGCTGTCACAGGCAAACTTCATTACAAGTATGATGGCTGTTAATTTTACCCAGCTTTTATTAAATTAAATATTGTAACATTTTGGCTTTAAGCTATTATATAATAGAAGTCTGAATTTACTCTCATGCATTTTATATCCCTTACCCGGATTTTTACCTTAAACCTGCAGAGACAACAAATACAAAGGACATAGACAGTAGGGGGAACATGTATGAGGGATGTAGGACAGAAAGCAGGTAGATAGGAAGTGACGAAAGCAATGTGGATTGGGTAATGTACTCCATACACAGTCTTGGTAGTTCCATGATTCTTTGGATATTCTAGAGGAGTACAATTATACAGTCTGGTGTAACATTTGAGGAGACAATTTAGGACACACTTTTGGAAGATGTGAATTTTCAGGAAGGGGATATAAGGAATGTGAAAAGGCATGAGACAAACACAGGCAGGAAAAGGGATTCTAGGTAGAGAGAACCGACAGGGAATATACCAAACACTGCAATATTTTATCAAGAGGAAGTTAATACAAGAATATAATCAAGTTATATCCCAAAGTATGAGAACTGAAAACTTGCAATTTTTTGCAACTTCAAGTGTTACTCTCATTCAGAACATGGAACTTTTTTGAAATGCACTAAGCCATTTCTCTCATCAACATCTCAGGGATACAGATACCACAGGTTAATCATCTTGTTTCCTGCAACAACTCAGTTTTTCAGCAATATTTTCTCCTAGATAAAACCACAAGTCTGAAATGTACCCCTAGCAAGCAGATCTGGAAAGCAGTCATTTACTTACCGTCTCTGGTTCTCTGCTATGAAAATTCTGAACAGGACTCCTGTCAAGTTAATTTCCACGTTGAAAAGAAGGAGCGGAAGAGTCCGTATTTGTGGGGCATCCTTGATACACTTTCAGATTAATCAAGAACCATAGCACAAAGCATAAAAGAAACTACAAACTGAAAGTTGCGTTGTCATTTATTACTCTTTCCACCCCTTTATTCTGCAGCAAAACAAGTGGACTGGCCTTAATTAAGTTTAGGAAGCAGAAATATTTTAAGATAATCGGCTGCTTTAAAGACAAGTCTATGTACATTAACATCTGAGTTGTTTGACCCAAGCATGGGAATTCATTGCAACTGTCTTGTTCGCCTCTTTTCTTCCCTCCCCCTGTCCACCGTATGTTTATTCTTCTAAACAAAGGATTTATTTGGACAAATTGTTTCATTGTAAACATTAACATTTTAAACATTCCATCTTAATTCTTCAGTGTTGTAACTCACTGTCAAATTTCTTCCCCCCTCCCCCCCCATTAACCCTTTAGGAGGTTACAGGTCCGAAGCTTGCTACCCAATCTAACCCCTGCTACAGCTAACGCAATCTGCATGAGAGAGTCACATGGAAAAATGCTAATTTACAATACCAAGAGGTTATGGGGGTTTTAAAAGCTATTAAGAACTTACATGTGCTAAAAAAATTAAAGCTTTAAAAATAAAAACACAATTATGTTCTGTATACCCGTTAACCTTCTGGCATGAAGAGTTGGGTCTTCCTAAGAGCAGAAGTTGGCAATGTTTAATATCAAAACACATTAACAGATGTGAACAAAGAAAGAAAGGGGAAAGTGTCTTGCTTGTTAACTTCTTTTCTACTATATCACGTCTGACAATCCTAAAAGGGGAATTGCTTCCTCCAGCTAGGAAAGTGTAAAGGCAGCCCAAAGTGGTCAAAAGAGACTGGGTATTCTGCAAACCCTGTTTCCTGGCTACACTTTCCATTTCCATGAATAATAAAGGAAAATAAATTCAGAGTACCTCATGACTCTAAAAACAGAGCACTTGAATACTTAATAGGATATATTTTTCTTTATCCATTTCCTTCTAACAGGAGGAAGTGACAAGATTCTACATCTGTGTATATATACACATATACATACATCCTTCATAGATACAGAAAGTTTCTCAGCTCAAGGAATTGACATGGTTATGGAGGAATGAGCACTAAGGTTCAGAAGTGCAAGCCTTTCATTATTTTTGACTGCTGTACAGAACACTGCTAACTACACCCTGCATAGTTTCATCTGGTGCTTTCT